AAGGCTGGGGACACAAGCGATGGAAGTGAGACAGAGCGGGAGGCCTTGTAGTGAGTCGTGGACAGCCTCTGCTGCGCTGCTGATGTATTCGCTTTGGGAGCAATCACTTAGGCGTAAAATTGAGAACAGCCAAACAAATAATAAATTCACACCTGAGACTTGATTTCTTAATTCCGCATTACTAGACAAATTGTCAACATGAGGGTTAATAGTAAATAGTAAATGTAGTAAAGTTAGAGGCGATTCTTATCAGTTAGTAAGTTCTGTGGATTTAGCAATCGCACTTAAGGAAGAGCGAAGCAAATTAAGATAGGCTTGCAGTGCTTGTTCGAATCATTCGTCACTCGCTGCAATGAGGTTGGTAAGAAGGTAGGCGATTTCCCCTAGCATTTAATGTCTACGCTGTCTGCGTTTACCACCTGACTACCTTGCGGCCCTCAAGTCTGTTGTCAACACGTCAATTCCTTGTGCCTTTCAAAATAAGTCAATGTCTTCTAAAAAGAGTTTTTAAGGCAACGTAATGGAAATATAAGAGTTTGGATCATTTTTACATTTTGTGATTAGAAAAGAGTCAGTATGCCATGGCTGACACCTCTCTGATGCTAAAGTGTATTTTAATAAAGGCAATGCAATGCAAGCGACGAACCTACATCTATATGCTGTTGTAAAAAAACTGCTTCTTTCCACCGCTTTGCCGTTTTGAGATAAGTATGTGCCATAACTCCACTTGGCAGTAAACATTGTGCCCCACTGCATGCGGTGGATTGTTGGAGGAAAAGACGGCAACTTTTTATTAACCTGCTGCTCCGAGATTAAATGGATTGCTCACTAATCAGTCTTGTCAACTTTCTCTCCGCGCTGGTTCAACTAGCATTGCATTATAAAGCAGACTTTCGTAAAAAATCAGGATTCAATGGAAAGTGGACCTCGATTTTGCTTTTCTGAGAACAGCAATAATTATTTCCCTGACAGATTTGTTCCCCACTTCCCCTCATACATATCGTGGGCACTAGAGCGCGTAAGGTTAGCGGGAGACTGTGCCGCAAAATACTTACAGCCTTTACTCCCTTACAAACACAGCATTTGCGTTCGCGCCCGCCACCTCCTCGTACGCAATTCCGCCCTTTTCCCTTCGAACAAAATGCCGAGACGCATACTACGGGTTGGTGAGATGCTCGCATAGGCTTACCACCAAAGTAGGTACAGGTAATTCACATTATGATTAACCACTTCAAGAGCGTGTTCGCTCAAAATGCACAAGGATAGTCGCGCGAAAGCACGGCGTCAGCCACCGACGTCGATCGCCTATCACGACGCCTGGTTTGTTCTAGACATCCTTCCGATATTTGGGCCTTTTACTTCCAAAATGCAGTCTAAATTTCGCCCAGTCGCAATAGGCGTGGACATTCAGGCTTTACTTTAGAAGATCAATTTGTATCTATGACAATGTTGCTCGCAATGTTTTCCCTCGATTGGCATCTGGGTGCAGATTTGCGGCATGAAAAAATTTTTCGAATTTCATTTATTAGGCAACAGTATAAAGACAGACTAGAAAATGAGTGAACCTATCAAAGTAGGGTAAAGCTTAATAAAAACTGATTTGCCTTAACACTCTAATGAGAATCACTATAATGAAAGTTGACCTGTCCGCTTGCACAATCCGGTGCGTCACGCCCCCATTCGTCATTTCTACCCCTGTTTCCTGATCGAGGGATGAAGTGATTCAGCGCATTAGCCACTAAGCAATCGAAACATGCACTGCAAATTTACCATGGAAGGGCATGAATATCACATCAACGTAGGTCACCGTGCGACCTAGTGACCGCTTTGGTCGTTAAATGTTTGATTGCGATAAGGAATTGACCCCCCCATACCTTCTTGACAGTCATGGACTAAATACTACAGCACGGTCGGATGCTTCTCTCCAACAGCCACATCCATATCTTACTGCGTCTCAGATTTATGTCACTAGACTGAACTTGGACATCTCATGCCTCACACGGCACGGAGGCGAGCAATGCTGGATCAACTACAGCAATTCGCATCCTATTTATCCTCATCAAATCTTCCAAGTCTCTCACGTTTTGGCATTTATGACTACTCTTCAGTCGCGCAAAGTGAAATCAGTGCAATGCACCGCGGTATCGTGGAAGGAGGAGATTAAATGTTCAGCTGAAGCATCCCAAGGGTAGGTCCCGAATAATCTGTGCTAGTTTATGAGGGCATGAGAGTGGAGGAAGAAGCACGAGGTAAAGACTAACACACAAACACCACCACCACCTCATCGGCCACGAAAGGCCGCAATAGCAACTGCCCCATACGCCGTTGCCGACAGGCACCGCAAGCGTCGTCGCAGTCGTTCAAATGCCTCCTCCTACCCGACTAAACGTCATCGCAAAAGCAACGCATACCGACACGATGTGAGTGCTACACAAATATTGAGAGACAGGTAAGGCTGCAAGAGAACACGCGGCACCAGCATTATTAACAGCAGCAAACCGAGGCTAGCACAACTGATGGTAGAGAGTCGGCAAGGCCAACGCTTGCAAAAGTCCCTACCAGTAACTCTCAATGGTCATGCATACCCTTTGACTACAGAGGAAGAAACACATCCCCCACCTTTGACTGTCTGGCCATTCAAACCCCTGCTAGCCAAATAATCAAGTGAACAGACAAGACAAAAGTGTGTAACTAAATTGGCAAATGTGTCAATGCTCATCAGTGTGCTAAAAGGAGGGAAGGATCCAACCAGCACCCGTGTATTTGCCCTTAGGAGACGCCGATCAACTACTAGCCATCAAGCCTATTCACCTACATGATCTATGTCTGTCCCCTCGACCCGGTCAATCAACTCCAAGCCGCATGGCAAAACAAATACTAATAATAACAATATCGGTAATGATAATAAAACCAAGGCCAATAACTGCTGCGGCTAAAGGGGGGATAGAAACCACGCCGGGGCCACTGCATCACTACGACAGTGGAAGCACAAAAGACGAGGCGATTCGTGTGTTGTCTCCAAAGTAATCATCACAACACTACATCTCCACTGAACACCTCATTGATGAGTAATTCGCAGGAAATTATCTCAAGAGGCTTCTTTTCATATGAACACATGTACGCACTTCTATGTTTTCGACGAAGAGCAACAAACTGAGCAAGATTCACACAAAGGCGTATCCTTTGTGTTCCTACCGGTATATCCTTGATCAACAAAATAGCACCAGCAGAAGGGACTGATAGGATTGCCTGACGACTCCATAAAATTGAGCCAGACCCAAAGCGTAACACAAATTTCGAGAAGAAGGCGTTCCTCAAATCGGCAAAACCATGAGAAGGCGTAGAGCACCAGCAAACTTCCTAATCACAAGCAATCCGATAGAATGTGCTTAGTTGATGCATCAACGCCCACCGCAGCAACTGACGTTAAGACCTAGGAAGAAGAAGGTTTATCTGTAGGTAAGAATTTCATTTTACTGCAGATAGTCATGCGGGTTACGATGCGGATTGCTGTATCATACTCCATCCATCAGCAGCAATAGCTTGGGATACTTTGAAAAACACGTCGAAAACCTGTCCCACCTGTAATTATTAAAACACTATACACATGCACAGCACATATAACTTTCTCCGAGTTGCTAGGACAACACTGCAAGCAATAGGCAAACGCACCCCAGTTATCCCAACTAGAGAAAAACGAAAACAAGTGGCACTGCCTATCACAACAATGGCCCGATTAGTTGCGAATGAGCAAAAAATCCAGACCTGCTAATATTTAATTTACACCTGTGCTGGGTAAAGGCACCTGAACAACCAACGAGTTGGAGAATTAGCATAAACGTTCGTTTAATATCTGCACTAACAAGTGAATCACGTAAATGGGAAGGTAAGAAGCAGCTCCAACGAAGGCCCAGTTAGCCTTAAGTCACACGAGTGTGATTCCCATACAATCACTAACATCTGCTGCAGATACAAACGACCACACCAGGCGACGAGGGGGCATACCTCAACAGTGGACACATTAAAAACACATAACAGATAGCGTGGTTCATATACATATTTAAACGTACACTTATAACTTGGCGAGTTCGTCCTTCCGTCCCTCCGTCCCGCCCTTCACATATCCACACTCTTTGTTGACACTGACGACTGGCGCTTTCTGCCTACGACGTCATGAATGCAGGAATCCCCGCACCGCACCACACCATACCGCGCAGCACTTTACAGGCTTTCAACAGTTCTAGCAAAGGTTCATAAGCAAACACTGACCACCAAAATGCACTTCAGGACCACTACAGTCTCAGCGATATACATGTCCTCTGCAGACTCGGAGAGGATAGAGCTGGTATACCACGCTACGTGTGCATTTGTCTCCGTTCACCATAATAGAACTCAAAGCTCCCGCCCACACATCCAGCACCTACTCCAACAAGCTCTGGCCCAAAAAAAAAACGTTCCCGTACCTGTGGAAACAGAATAGGATGTAGAGCAACAACCCCAGTCACGGTAAAGTCCTGCAATTATCTTACCAACCGAATCGGAGGATGGACGTAGATTGCACGTTCATGTCTCGTTGGTAGCAAAACCCTTACCACCTTGGCTTGTGTTTGCTCAAATCGCGACCGCGCAACTTGCAGAAGACGCGACTCAGTTCATTGTCGGAGAAGAACATACTCAAGTACCCTTTCGGAGGGCGTTGCAGCTACATTCGATACGTTCTACCAACAATGATGAAATAACAACTTGCGTAATACATCTGTTACCAAGTGATTGTGAAAAGACTATGGATGAAGGGTTAAGGCGACTTCTTCCATAAAACATGGACATTAAGACTGTTAAAACGCAAAAACACAACACATGAGTGGGAGAACCTTCTTACCCGAACAAGGTGCGGGACAATAACATGGCCCAATTTCAAAACTATCGCACTTCAGATATCTCGCGAAGACTATCAGATGCAACGTGAGAAATAGACACATTCTTGTCTACTTTAAGTTCCGAACCACCAGAAGCACAAAGCGTAATGCTTGACAGCTTTTCCCATTTCATCCACAACTTGAGCCTCTTTAATAACAATCCAGGCGTTATCATCACCAGCAAATAGCTCACCACGGTAACAGAATGATCAAGGTAACACCTGGTCAACCTAGAGCAACTAGTTAAACAAATGGTTAATGATAACAGAAGCCTGAAAAGATGAAACCAAGTGTATTACACAAAGTCATAGCAAATAAAGTCTGTTTATTTATAACAATCAAAGTTACATTTGTTTTTTGATATGCACCCCAGTATTTTTGCTCTCTTTATTATGAATAAATCATCTACTACTATCAAGTAGCAAATTCTTACACAAACAACTAGTCATAGGAGAAATCATACGCTGACATGTTTACGCATTATGATTCCTACAATAGGATACTCGTACCCTAATGCAGTACTCTGGTTGTTTAACTTACATGCGAGCTGCACTGCATTGTAACGTCCCGAGACTTCCCTGAAAACGAAGGAAGACATAATACTCGAGCAGAATACATATTTAGCACAGAAAAGGTGTTTGGGCTGCTGGCATGGCCCAAAGGCCAGCCCATCCAGTGTGATACAAGAAGGAAAATTCAAAAGTCCAGAAGTGGTGCGAAGGTTATTTCACAGTCTCAAAGCACCTGCACATTTGACGATATTTCTTGATCTACTTTTGGCACTTCTCTGAGTATATGTCACATGCGATTCTACTTTGTGATTGTTCTTTGCTCTTTACCTACTTATCAGGTGTTTGTTTATTCTCAATCCACAGAAGAGTTGAATTGGACAGAGCAAAGGTGGTGGTTGTTGCATCCATGACGATATTGCCATCACCGCATGTATGTTTGAGGTTTATTTTACCCACACGGAATATTCAAATTTGGTATCAGCTATTCTACGCCCTAATTCTCAAATGTAATTAGGCGTTGAGATCAATTTGCATTTCAATCGGAGAGATGGTATTAATTATGGCAGTGTTCTAAGTATCACGAGAGTGACATAATATTTGTATCCATTAAAGAGGTTATGCTGAATTGCCTTTTATACACTCAAAAGTGCGCTTATAAGGCCAAAATGAAATTCGAAGCAACTTAAATGCGTTGACTAGCACGGTTTTAATGCAACCGGGGTGGATAAGATTGTATAACATTAATAAGGCTAATTAATTACAACTTGTTTTATCCACTTATCAATGCTATCTCATTTGCTCCTCTTATGTTAACGGTTTTACAGGGTGTTGTCTGGATCTAGTGCTTTTATCCATGCATGGAAGCACTCCAAATCGCATCTAAAACACACCAGAATATGTTGCCAAAACAAGGTTTCGCCCCATTTTATTCATTCGCGTAGGCTCCCTTAAGCGAGTGAAATTGTAACAAACTGGCGAAAGTGAACGAAACATGGGCACAATATTTATTGTCAACTCGACTGCTCTCCATTGTAAAATGTTACACAATCTCGAGGCAAACACGAATTATTCTCCACTAATTCATTCCCTGCTCCATGGAAACCTGCAGTGGAAGAGATTGGTTCGACAAACACAAAATATAACGCATTGAGATGAGACAGTGGGGAATTTGCACAGACCTACATTAAGGTCATAGCAAGCAACAGGACTCCAGAGATTGCGGTTTTCAAGGCAGATCCGCTGGTGGAGATGGTACCTCCTATGTAAAAAGAATACTTTCAGTGATAACACATTACAGATGGATGTGCCTCAACTAGAAGCTGTGCAATGACGCGCACTGACAATTGAATCATCGTGGTTTACTCTACACAGTTTTGAAAACGATGCAACGAAAAGCAGTGCATCCATTACAAATTAAACCCACCTGCTGGCCCTGTCGTAAATTCGGTTTTGAGATATACAGGATCACTTCTTTTTCTGGGTATAAGTATGTAGAATTCGTAATTTGTGCTGGGCAGCAATTCGTCAATGATGCTATCTCCATTTGAAATGAATTCAGTTCTATACTCAGCGGGCTCATGATTCGGAATTGGTAATGCAGACACCAAAATGAATTTTGAAACATGACCAGCCAGTTCTTTGGGGATCCAAGTTAACTGTAAAACTGTAGGTTGAATGAGACTCCACTTAAAGTAGTTCATGAGTGATGGGTCTCCTGGCGTTATGTTCACTATAAAAGGCATTGTACAGTAAGCAGGATGCTAGCATTTCTTTCCAGTTAGTCAAAAGAGCAGAGCACTCAGTCCTAATGTCATGACAATAGCAGTTGTGGGCAAAGAACTTCAATAAGTTCGCCTTCATAAAACAAGTGTTTAGTGATTTCCTTAAGTGGGGAAAGGGGTTGCAAGAATTATCATTAGCCACGGGATCGGATAAAACAGTCTTTCTTGCTCAAAGGATATTTTGAAAAAGGAAATAACTCTTACGTAGAATGCAAATACTTAATTTACTTCTGCAGCAATCTTGGTTAAAAATACATGCAAAATGGCTACGTAGCTGCTATTTACTGTACTATTCCTCATCAAGTGCTGTCCG